TTTATATAATTATTACTGATTTGGATTTGTTGGGTTTTCTTTCAATTTGTGAACGAAAAATAATTTTAGCTGCACGAGGAGTAATCTTAAACTCCCGGGAACAACTAACCAAGTTAACGACATAAATAAAGCAATGACAGATGTTCACAGTTCTGACAATAATTTCCCTGGAAATGCATTTTTCTGCCTCCACGATGAAGATTTTATCAGACATCGTGTACGAACAGAAAACTGTGCAAACCATCGTTCCTTTGTGTTTTATAGGTGAACAGGTGGAGCAATCTTTTGGAAACTTGAAAGTCAACATTTGTTACGAGCATGTTTTCTCCTGCAGGAACTGCGTCAGACAAATATCATTTGTTGAAGTCTTCTAGTTCTGCCCACGCCTCATTGGACAGTCAAAGCTGATCCTTGGATCCTTGGATCTCCATCGTTTTGAGATTTAGCTCTGGGGAGGTCCACTGATGGGACTGATGGTGTTTCATTGTGTTTCTCTATCCAGACAGTGTGTTTGGGACCGTTGCCATGCTAACAAATGAAGCTGGAGCCAATCATACGCCTTCAGATGGCCTTTTTTTCTCATGTATGTGACTGATGCTGTTTTTTTGTCACTCCTTTTGTCCTCCAGTTCTCTCAGACTTTTTAAGAAGATACTGCACACCAGGTTGTGGTCTGCCATGCCTTTGTCAGTTCTTTGGAAATCACCTCATTGGTGCAAAAATACAATTCACTTCCTGTCAAACTGTTTGTTGGCATTTTTCAAGAATTCAACTAAAAAGGAGTTTTTGTGACAGGCTGGAGTTATGATTGGGAAAATGTGACTGTTGTCTGATATGTGTGGCTACAACAATGGTTGTTGTGCTTAAACGATTCACAGATCCATGTTAGGTGGCTCGACAAACAAGAAAACATTACTGTGAAAATGCTCAGGTACAAGGAGAGGACTAGAAATGAAAAAGGAGACAAACTTTGAAAGATGTTGAAGATTCCTGCTCAGGGCTATTAAAAAATCTAAGAGTCTGGCTCCTTGGAAGCAAAAATATAAAGAAATGAGTGGGGACTGAAAACCTTTGCATCGTATCTATCGTGGCATTTTTCCTTTTGCAGTAGACTCTCTTCCTTTATTTCCCATCAGTAATTTAGTGAGAAACACTGCAAACCAAATACATGACATGTTTTTGTGAGGTTAGATAAAAAAATCACGACTTGCTAAAACCCACACTAAAACGTCTTCATACTCTGGATATTTGAGGAACCCACAAACTTGCTCCCCTCCGAGGAGCCCGACGGCGTCTTTTCAGCGAGCTGAAAAGTGCAGGCACGTGACGGCATAACTGGCACGCCGCTGCTTCATGTCAACTGAGAGTATTTGTTGACTGAAATCTCTGCATAATCTGTGTGCTCATCTTCCCAGCCTTGTGCTCTTTAGATGACAAATACAATTAGAAATCAAGGGAGACGCACTCGTGTGGATGCTTGCTGAAGAGTTTTCAGCATCAAAAGAATCACGAACGCTTTATGAAGAGACAGTGATGTAAAAATTGTTTTACCACCCAGAGTCTCCTTGAAATGATGATGCTAGGAAGAAATACAGCAAGCATTTAGAAGTAGACGTTACTGTGTAGAGGCCAGTGGGTTTGTAGTAAACAAGTAAATATGACCACTGAGACATCGAGAGTCCCGATCGCTTCAGTTTGACACTAGCGAGCCAAAACATTGTGACAAATTACAGCTGATTATCTTGTACCAGTGGTGTCCATCGGGCCACCGCAGAGCTCTGCGTGCGTGAAACAAAGACCAAACTGTTCAGCGGTGAATCGCTGCTGCAGTGGAGAGAGGACATATTACTGGCCACAAAGCTAGAGGACGTGTGACCCTCCATCATCACACAAAGAAAGACACAACTACAGCAGGTGACCTGTCCACTGCCTCGATGCCACAGATGTGATGCATCAAGTCTCCAGTCTGATCGGCAAACACAGTTTTGTGCGTCTCCAGTTTAAAATCAAGCCAGTCGACAAAATGACCCTCTGTTGTTTTGTGATTGATGAAGGAAGCTACTTCCCACACCCACATTCAAGTGTGCAACAATCCAAGACCATGTGTGCACACATCAGTGTTTAATTTGTTTAATGTTTACTAGTGTAACCAGGGTTAAAAAGATGCATAAATAGTAAAAGATAAGTGAAGTCTGAGAATATAAATATCAAAGAGTTCATTTATTTAAATTTTCTTGTATATTAAAAAGGCAAAAGTTCATGTAAAATGATTAAAAACATGTTTGCATTGTTTAAAATAAGTTATCTTTCTTTTCTTGTGAATTGTTTGTGAGAACTGTAATTTCCTACGGGGATATGGTCTGTGAAGGTAACACAGGGTGGAGAGCGCGAGGAGAGAGGGCGGTGGCGCGTGAGTTACACGGAGCATCCAGAGAAGTTAGCTTGTTTTTATGTAGTATCAGTAAGTGTGTTGCGACTTTTCGGAAAGATAAGTCGCAGTGTCGGTAAGTTAGTGACATGACACGTAAAGTTTCGGCGTGAAGCTGCTGGACTGTGTGTTTTGTTTACTGCGGCAGCATTAAGTTAAAGTGAGGCTAACCCAGCCGTTTGCTAATAAGGACTACTGTAGGCTGCCGTTTCGCTAAAGTTGTGGAACATAACAAGCTGCAGAGGATCGTTACCGAACTGGATACCGACGGACAGACCCCAGATAGTCACTCTGAGTGCCCGAGTCACTCAGAGTACCTCTGGCAACGTGGGAAGCTAAAACAGGAAGCTTGTGGAGCACGTGGAGGTCACGGACCTTCCTCATGTTTGTGCTACTGCATTCAGAGCGGAGTGTTTCTGAAGGAGCTGAAGACAAC